GCCGGGGAGCGTAAGGGCGGGATTTTGACTTTCTCACAGGTGAGTTTACCTGTTTTCAGCCACCCGGATGCAAGGAAGGGGCGGTTTCGGCGGGGCGACCTCTTCGTCTGTGGCGTCTGCCAACACTTCTGCGGTGGGTGTCAACCCGGCCGTCTTGTTGAGGATCTCCATCTCACGATCCGTCAAGGGGAGCTCCAACTGACGGTCTGTTGCAGGCACAGGTAAGGTGGGCTTGACTGGGCTGGTGGGAGACGGGTGTTCCTGCTTCTCAATTGTCAGCTTCACCAGCTCCTTAACACCATCCAGAACTGCCTTGATGACTCCCTTAACTGTATTCACCACTTCTTTGTCTTCCACATTGATGCCTTCGAGCATCACTTGATCGGACCATCGAATCAAATCCTCCAAACTCTAATACACGCGGCTGTAACAGGAAGTAACGGCGGAACTCTGCTGAATCCGCGGGTCCGTCTGAACCAGAGGCAAGTTCGCTTCCAGAACTTTGTTGGCGGATCCCGGCAACATCTCCAACACTTTGTTATCAATGGCCATTTTGTCCACGATGGTCTTAAAATAACGCAGAGCGCTCACTACGTCCTTCTCTTTCTCCTCCAGCCAACTCAAGTTCTTGTTCACAACCTTTTCGGTAGATTTCACCACTAGGTCAGGCTGCTTTCCTTTCTTTGATGGCGTCCTTTTTATTTTGAGCGAGTGGAATTTGTCCTTTAGCTTCATGGTGAACGAAGAGAGACGAGAACGCTGAGAATCTGCTTTCTCCACCCGGCCCGACATGGCTGGGCTGCCGCTGGCTCTGGCCCGGTGGCCCGGTTCGGGCGCTGTCGGAGCCCGGGAGGACGGCAGGTAGCCGTGCAGCTCCGCGCGGCTCCGTGGCTGCTGCTGCCGCCGCGGCTCCTCCTGCCGCCGCTGCTAACGCAGGACCGGCCCGGCCCACAGCGCGCCCTGCTGCCCGACCGCCGCCACTGCCGAGGCGCTTGCTGGCCGCTGGAGGGGGCCACTAGGTCCCATCGCTCTCCGTCGTGGGGGACTCCAGGGCCGGGCTGGTTGTAGGAAATATTTGAATGTAAATGTAATTGAAATTTAGAGAAACAACTTTTTTTTTTAAAAGGTCACGATAAATAAATAGCTTTGTTAAAAAATAACCTACTTAAGTAAGTGACTTTGATTCAATAGAAATATATTTGACCCCTATTAGTTTTTCTCTTCTAAGGGGTTCTGACCAAAACAGTAGCTGGGTTTACAAATTGTTCTAAGTGTGGTTTGTTGTCAGCCCTTTGATGGAATATCTTTATTGTTATAGGGAGAATAACAGAATCTTAAAATTCTCTCTGCCCCATCTTATACAAAATAATATCAGGGGGGGAGGTATTTTAAGTTCTGAAATGGTGTAGGGTCTCCTGCTTGGATGGGGGGGTTGGACTAGATGACCTACAAGATCCCTTACAACTCTGTTATCCGTAAGTTTCTTTCTCATACTTTTTTCTTCCTAAGGAGCTGAGTAATCTTTTCTGAAAGTGCCCCCCTTCATGCTTTGCTCAATCCTTCCCCATTCCCTAGGCCAGGTTTACATTCCTTTGCATTTATTTTACCATGCCTTATTAAACAATCCAGAATGATCTGGCTCACACATAGTTTATAAACTTCAGTTGGATTGGGTTCATATATTGAGGTAAAACCCCAAAGCACGACATTATGGCTCAGTACAGCAATCTTCATTAAACCATTTTAACCATCCACAGTCTTTTCATATTGATCCAATCTTTCGTGTTATTTGGCCTTTTTAAAATCGGTTCAAGATGGGACTGGTAATTATCAGGATTAAATGTTGATCATTTTTGATAAATCATAATACTGTGTATTTTTTTAAATTAGCGCCAGGAATAATTAAACCAATCCAAAAATAAATTGCTTAATGGACTATGACATTGGCTTTGATCCATTTTTACACTTTACTTGCCTAATTATCTATGCATGAACTTAGAAATCTTTTTGCCGCTGTATTTTTAAACTATAATACAGGGAAAGTGCAAATTTGATTCTAAGCCATTGCACATCAAAATCTGTGTATTTACAAAGTTAGATTTCTAAAGTGCTGCTATCAAGTAGCTTCTCAGCAATTTTCAAAATATATAAACATAAACTATCCAGAATATAATCATCCAACAATTTAAATTATAAAAATAATTATCCAATTAGATTTTCTTATAAAAGCAATGCAGATGTATCTTCCTTTTTTCTAAATGTTCTTTTCCTGGGAATTTTTTTTTATAGCATTATGTATTAGGATATGAACCGAGAGATTCATGCTCCAGTTACAGCATAGGATCTTCTCATGCTACTCTAGCAGCATGGGAGGAAATAATGGTACTAACTAAAGTACCGAGTGGCTGTTGTGTTTTCCTCCCAAAGATCTGACTAATATTCCATCACTCAGGCTGGGGGGTCAAATTTTAT